AATCAATGAGGATATGTAAAACCAGATGTGGGCAACATGGGGTGGGGAGACTCTACTTTGGTGAATATTTAGGGATTCTATTCTGTCTATAAGCTGAGGGGAACCTCTGAAAGAGTTGCAGCTAGGGAGCGATGTGAATAGGCATGTGTTGTCAAGGGCATTCCAGCTGCTGGGTGGGAAGGAGGCGAGAGGGGAGAAGCCCAGAGAGGAATCGGGCAGCTGGTGTACAAGCCTGGAGGACACACGTGGAAGGGAGCAGAAGGGAGAGTACGGAGTCGGAAGAGCCCAGGACCAGTCCCGAGGACACCAGAGATAGAGGCTGAGGGAAGGAGGAGGGAAAGCTGGTGAAGGAGAGATTCAACAGGAGCAGCCGGTGTGACCAGAAGGCCGGGAGTGTCCAGAGAAGGCCTGGAGTGGGGTGAGGCATGGGGGCCAAGGAACAACGTCAGATGTTGCAGGGAGCTCTGGTCAGATGAGGCCTGAAAGTGACTGTTGGATTTGACAGTGTGGATGTTATCAGCATCCTTGGCAAGAGCAGTTTTGTTGGCTTGTTGAGGCAGCAGCCAGGGTCCACCCAATGTCTCACTTTCACATCTGCTCACATGCCCCTTTGCCCTTCCAGCTCCCTCTCACCTGCTTCTGCTCCATACCACTGAGTACTTCTGACACAGCACATACTTGGTTGTCTGCCCATAGACTATAAGCTCCATAAGGCTAGAGACTTGATTTTGTTCACTGCTCTATTCTTAGCACTGAGAACAGTGCTAAATAAGTGAATTGAGTAGACGAATCAGGGTAGTGTCATGGGGAAAGTCATGGCCACAGTATTCATGCTCTGCATAGCCACATCAACCCATTTCTTTTGTTAAGCACCATTGAACACAGGGCATAGGTGCTACATAGTACAGTGTTAACAACTGGCTCCAGCTCCTGGCCCCAGAAAGGTTAGAATTTGATAGATGTACGTATACTAACTTCAATTAACTTACCCTAATGTCACTGTGACCATAGTTATTGTCAAAGTTAAGGTTTGGGGCTTCATGTTCAATAGAGAACAGATTCCATGGGTTTTCTTTATCAGTCAAAGCTGACTTTTAGCAAAGGAGCCAATGCTTTTAAAGCCTATTTATAGATCTTGGCTACCTGGAGAGTGTTACCTTATCCTTTGAAAAGCATCAGACAGCTTCAGATTTCTCTGCCTTTTAAGTAAGTGATGTAGCTGGCAGTGCCTTGAAAATGACTAATGATGGTGACAATAACACTTGTTTCCTGCCAGATTTCATAGCAACTCAGAAACATTTGCAAACACGCTCTGTTTCTACTAGTATTACTTCTCTGGTAGCAGTTTCTAGAGTCCTGGCTCAAATGTGCATTGTGGCCCCAGCCCTCTGTTAAGCTATTTCCTCTTTAAGCCAGATGTCTGAAATGGGGTGGGGTGTTTTTAATCTTTATGTAAGTCTTAGCCTTGGTGAATATTTGAATCTACTAATTAATTATTTTTCCCATAGGAGGATGAAAGTGCAAGGGAAAGGCTGTGCTCTTTGAGGTAGTTATTCCTAGTACTGATGTGATAGCAATGTGTCACTTGTGTCTGTGGCTTAGCCACTTTGATCAGGTGAGGATGGCAGTTACTGTATCATCTGGGTGGGGCTGTGTTGAATATAATAAAATGTGATGGTGCTTGTATTTGCACGTGTAACTATGTGCATTTATTTGTCTTGCTGATTTCTCTCCTTGTATTTTACTTTTACATTATTTTTCAATGTTAATGAAAGCATTATGATTAGAAATGAGAAGGGACGTATGTGAAGAAGCTTATAGAATACCACACAGCTTCAGATTCCTCTGACTGTAAGTTAAGTAGCTTGAATAAGTGGAGAAACATACACTGACCTAGGGTAGTAATGACCAAGTTGGATGGGTCCATGTTGCCCACAATAATTTATGAATTAAGTGTAATCCCAGTCAAAACACTAAAATAGTTTTCTTTTGAGATTTTACAACATGATCATAAAGTTCACATGGAAGAATAAATAGGCAAGAATTATAAAAATTTCTTTAAAAAATGATGGGACTATCCTTACGTAGATACTAGATGGTAAAGTACATCACAATTTGTAATTATTAAAGCAGTGTAATACTAGCACAGGATTGGATGTGAATCAGTGATACACGAGGCCCCAGAATAGACACCAATAACCACAACAATGAATTTCGGGCTCAGTAGGGAGGACCCAGGCCCAGGCATGGGAGCAGGACCTGAAAACCTCACAAGCTTCCCCTGGGAGGAGGCTCTGCTTGGGCTGGACCCAGGGTGGAGGGCCCATAGCTCCAGGCATTGCCCTCTTCTGTCTTGCCTCGCCCGTGGCTGCTCCCCATGTCCTGGCACCTCAGTGAACCTCTGTCAGTCTGGAGCCTGTTAGTTTTGGCTTCTAGCAGCCTGTGGAACCAAGCCCAGACCCCAGGAAAGGCCAATAGAGACCACTCTTTTGAAGAAAAACTAGAGTCCTGGAAGAGGACCAATCTGACTGAGCATTATTCATCCACTCACTCATTAGAGAAACTGCTTAATAGCCATTATCCTCATATTTGGATCTCTTGCACAAAATTGACAGGCACACATTTTCCCTCTGCTCATGTGATTAATTGTCTTCCCCAATTAACTAGAAGCCCTGTAAGGTCTTGGGTTGTCCCTGATCCTATTTCCTTGTTTATTTTGCAAATATAACACATGCATATGCTATATTTAAACAGTACAAAACATTAAACAATGAAAACTAAGTCTCTGACTGACTTCCTTAATTCAGCTCTCCAAATGAAAGTCAGTTTCACTGTTACCTGTTTCTTGGGTATCTTTCCTGAGCCTGACTGGCTGTCTTCCTGAGCCTCCCTCCCTTGCTCGCTCTCTCCCTCCCCTCCTTCCTGTGTGTCTGTGCATATCTCCCTGCTGAAAGTACAAATGGTGGCCATACTACATATCCTGCACTTTGGTATTCCCCCCACTTAATGCATCTTGTAGATCTTGCCTGTATGTCAGTACATAGAAATGTGTGTTGGTTTTTAATTGCCCCATAGTGTTTCACTATGTAGGAGCAGAGCCTGACCAGTGTGGGCCCTTGGTGGGCAGCTTGCTCCCAAGAGGAGGGAAAGAGCCCGGACCACCCCCACCAGCTCCGCTTATACTCATTGGTGACCTGCCTACTCTACCTAGCTGGGAGAGAGTGAGGGGAGGCAGCGCTAGGGATGTTTTGCTACTGGGCATCTAGGAAGCATCAGGAATGGCAAAGACATGTTGTCCCATTGTCCCATAACAAGCAAGTATGGTCAAATAAGTGGCCTCTACCACCCTTTTGGGACCTATCCTGAGTAGGACCTAATTCTACCTGGGACCTACCGCATCCCAAGTCCCCGCCCCAGCCCCACCCTCCCCTGTTCTTAATTCCAGCTCCAGTCTGTGCAAGACTTGCCCTTCAATTTCTATTCCAGAGCAGTCTCTTGCCAGACCTCTGAAGAATTCAGTCTGCTAGTTCTAACCAACAGTTTTCAGAGGGACCTTTGTTGTACTGTGAACTTCCTTGTTTCATGTCATGAATCTGCCTTCTAGGAAGGGTGGCATGGCAGGGTGAGTATGAGTTTGCTTTATGGAAAAGTTTAGCATTCACTTAGTAACTCCATATTGAAAAGCACCTCCCAGGTGCCAGACATTGTGCTGGGATGAGTCAGACATAGGCCTGGACCTTCCCATGGTCTGAGTGGGAGGGCGTGAATCCAGGCTCATTGTTCTGGGGGGAAGCCCCAGGACCTACACAGGCACATGGGAGGGGCAGGTTTGGGAAGCTAAGGCCAGAGGTCTTTCATCTGTCTGGGGAGAGCCAGTGGTCTCAGAAATTTTCGTTCTGTGTTTCTGGTTACACTTTAATGAAGGAAAAGGGCATAATCCTGAGTTAGACTAAGAAGTATCCATGTCTGGAAGACCAATTAAGCTGGGGCAGGGCCTGGGGAGCAGAAGCCCCCCAATAGGTGCTTTCTGGGGTACTGCCCTAGGGAGCTCTGCCAAGCTCTGCAGGTCTCAGGACTTTTTAGAGCAGCCAGCCAGCCTTTCCTGGCCCGTTGCATGGGAAACTGGGCTCCGGGTAGCCCTGTAACAAGGGTCACCGTCCAGGTTTGGTCTGTGGCTATCGGCATAGGGACTGTCTCCTCTATCCCACCTTTCAGATGGACAGTGACATCAGCACACAAAAGGCTCTGAGAAGCCAGTCACTAAAGAAGCTTACAGAAATGTAGCCCCCGTTTTCCTAACAGTTTGCCTGTGGAATCCTTGCAACCATAGAGCTGCGTGTATCGCTTCTTCAGCTCTTGTCTTGAAATTGCTGTGGAGGAGGGGTGGTCAGTAACCATGAAAACATCCAGGACCTCTCCTTTCACCCTAACCCTCTATTTCTGTGGATGGGGTTTTGGTTTTGGTTTGGACTCAGACTCTTCTTTGTGTTGGTTGAGCGCCACCTGTTGGCTATTGAGATATTACAGAAATTGGGGGGGGGGGGTAATAGCAGTTTGTGCTCTGAAATCTGACATACTCCTGCTGAAGTTTGACCAAATTTGACATAAATATCAAGGAAAAGTCAAACATTTCAGCAAGGGAGGAGGAAGAAGATGAGAACCCCCAGACTACGCCCTGTCAGGTTTGGTTTCCAGCTTATAGGGTTTGATCTCTCTGTATCTCCCCACCCCCTTCACTGTAAGTAATTGAAGCCGGCCAGGTAACCTCACTTCTCTGAGAAGATGCTGTTATGCTCAGGTTGCCCTGCTTTGTCTTCAGTAACAGAGCAGCGATAAGGTTGGGTTTGTTGTTAAGCCCAGTGGTTAGTTCTTCACCAAACACTGCAGGGCACCAAAGCTGGTTCTCTTCCCGGGAGCCCTCACTTTCCATTATCGCCCTTCTCCTGCTGGTGTCTTCTGCGCCATCGCTGCAGTTGGCAAATGCTGGGTCAGGATCCAGCAACATAGAAACTGGCCTTCTATCCTGGGCTTTAATGTGAAGAAACTAACAGTTATAGAAAAGTTTTGGATATTTTTTCCCCTTAAGGAAATAAAGAAATAGGGACAGTTTTCTGTTGTTTTTATTTCTGGAACCCCCTGCCTGGTTAGGCATCAGGTTGCTGACAGATCTTGCGGAGGTGGGGGAAGCGGGTTGGTTTTGCCCACTGTGGGACCTAATGCACTGTGGGATATACTCTGCTCTCCAGTCGGGTCTGTCTGCTAGCGCCGTACCCACCCCCACTCCCCACCCCTCCAGGCTCCGGCCATGCTGGGTGTTCGCTGCATTGGCCAGGTGTGTTCTTGCTCACCTCAGGGCCATGGCCAGCCAGGCAGCAGGAATGGCCTCTCCCCCTCTCCTTGCTTTATTTAAAGGTTTCTTATCCTCTAGGCCTTGGCTTAGATGTCACCTCCTCCAGAAAGCCTCTCCTGATTGGCAGACTGGTCAGTTATGCCGACTGTATGCTCCCAGAGTCCTCTGCTCTTCTTCACAACACTCAGCACATAGGCAGGACTTGTGCCTCAGGGCACTTCATCTGCCTCATCCATCCCTTTCCTCATTCTTAGCTCACGCACAGCACAGAGTAGACTTGTCAGATGAGGAAACGAGAAGCAAGTGGTTCTACAGCCACATGGAATTCAGGGTAAACCTTTGCCCAGGTCTTTGTTTATGGGTATGGAGAGTGGGCGTGTGGGTGTCACCTTTTCCTCCTGTAGAAGAGGAAGAGTCACATGACAATAGTGGCACAAAAGAGAGGCCTTTTCAAGTCAGGAGGTGTTAAAAATCAGGCCTTTCAGTAATAACGTAACTCTAAATCACTGAGGTGGTTATTAATATCTTATAATATTTTGTTTAGGGTTCACCCATTGTGTGTGTGTGTACACACATTTAATCCTTATTAAAACACTCTGGAGGTGATAGTATTGTTATGATCTTACCCAGGAAATGGGTGCCAGAAGAGTTAAGTGACCGTAAAAGTTCAGTTAGGATGCAGTTGTGCAGTAGAGTCTCTGGCTGTTGAACTTGGGTGAAAGCTGAGCAGTGGGGGCATGGGTTCAGAGTGCCATTGGATGAGGATGAAGGGGAGGAAGAAGGTGTGTAACTGGTTTGTTTGAAGGCCCTAATTCTTTGAGCTGAGGTTGCTGCTGTCTGTCCCTCTGATTCTAAGAGAATGTGCTGTGACATTCTGGGGGTCACAGCCTTCTGGTTGATGTGATTCTGTGATTCTCAGCCTGGCCCGGTGCTGGGTGGGTAAAGGGAGCCATGAGGTTTTGCCAGGTGCACAGCCTTTTGCTTTGTAACCCAGGTTTCAGGTTCAGCTCAGGTTTATTGCGTGGGTACTGTCTTTGAAGACCTCAGCTGTTGAGCTATTGGCCTGTCTCTGTCACTTGAGCTTTCTGAGTGGGTCTGGAAAAGGGAAAGGGCTGTGACCTGCAGTCAGGAGGACCCAGAGAACCCCGTTTGGTATGAACCAAAAATAGCCCCTTGCTAGCTCAAGCCTTCTGAAAAAGGAGCCCTGTGCCAGCTGCTCAGAGGAGGCGCCTGGCAGAGCCCTTGGAAAACTAAGCTGCCCGAGGAGGCTGTGCCTCCAGAGAACGTTCCTTGCCTGTTCTTAGTTTGCTTTGCAAGCGCTTTAACTCATTAATGAAGAATTACTACCTGAGCCCCTGCTATGTGCCGAGTTTTGTGCTAGGTGCTTAGGGTAAGTGATGCCTAAAGGTCCCTCCCTTTAGAAGCTGCAGTCTGTCTATCGGAGGGAGATGTGGGCACAGACATTGTTCTACAGACTATGGGTGAATGCTCTTTGAGGTGTGAGCTGTGCTCTGGGAGATCTCAGTGCCTGCTTGGAGGAGATGATGATTGAGCAGTGTTTTGAAGGATGAGCAGGTGGGCAGGGGCACAGGGAGCTCTGTGAGGAGTGAGGACCTTGTGTGCAGAGGCCTGGAGGCAGGAGAGAGCCCCACAGGTTCAAAGGCCTGTTGTAAGTACCTTGTGGGGAGGTGGGCCGAGACCAGCTTAAAGGAGCTTGGCTTTCATTCAGTGGTCAACAGATTTCTTTTTTTCAGCTTCATTGAGGTATAATTGATGGGTAACGTTGTGTAAGTTTAAGGTGTATAATGTGACTTGATACTTATATATATTGCGAACTCAACAGATTTCTTTTTAACTTTTAATTATGGAAAATTTTAAAGATATGCAAAAAGTGGACAGAATATAATAATGAACCTTTCCCTCAGCCTGCTTCAACAGTTAACAACCCATCATCCCCAACACCTCTACTCCATGTCACTTGGGAGAAATCCCAGAGGGACTTATATATTCTGTCAATCTCACCTGTGACTTGTAATGGATTAATCCAGAATTTGGGGGCCTGGAATGATCAGGTGGCACTTTCTGATGTCACTTCATTTTCAGAGGAACCAATGAGTTTCCCTCTTTCTTGCGTTTCAGTGGGAAGTTGGTGTCTCCAAAGTGGAAGAATTTCAAGGGCCTGAAGCTCCAGTGGAGAGACAAGATCCGGCTCAATAACGCCATCTGGCGGGCGTGGTACATGCAGTGTGAGTGCCAAGTGAGCAGGGGCCCCCAGGCCTGTGGGGATGGCCCTCCAGGTTCTTCCACCTGGAGGTCTGTGCACCTTGGGCTCCAGAGCCCACCCTTGGAAATTGTGCCTCAAAGAGAAGCCTCTTTTGGGCATTCTGCAGAGACAGGAAAACCAAGCCAAATCCTAGTGAACTGGACACTTCTCAGCCATCAGGCACAGGGGGCCAACCAAGTGGTCTGTGTTGTGAAGGTGCCCGTGTCTGCAGGAGACAGATGTGTTAGCTGGTTGCTTACAACACAGTTGCCCACTGTTACGATAGACACAAGTGCCCAATGTCGAAAAGGCAGAGGTGGAGGGAGGGGGTTGTTCTTTTCAGGGGAATCAGAAAGGGTGTAGCCGACAGGTGACATTTGAAGCATCAGGGAACAGTTCCCACTTTCAGCAGGTCTAAGGAAATGCAGGTCCGGCCTTGTTCTGTCTCCAGCTGGCCTGGCTGACCTCTGCAGGAGATTGCCGTGCCTGGGCCACCCTGGTGTTAGGCTGGCGTTTCCCTTTCTTACCCACGCCATATCGACACATTCTTTCTCTTTAACCTGGATCCCTTTGTTAGTCTGAAATCTTGTTTCCCAAGGGAAAGAGAATGAAAGAACACACCTGAGAGGGTCCCACCCGAGGGGAGGGGTATGTACCAAGGGGCAAGGCTCCTTCAGGGGTCTTGGTCGAAGTGATGATGTGTTACCCCCTCTCCACCCAGATTTGGAGAAGCGCAAAAATCCCGTATGCCACTTCGTCACGCCACTAGACGGCTCTGTGGAAGTGGATGAGCATCGCCGGCCAGAGGTAAATGGCGGTGATCATGGGTGGCCGGGAAGGAACTTGCCCTCACTCAGGAGGAGACGACCCATGAGGGCTGGGAGCCAGGGTTGGGTTCCTCAGTGGGAGACCACAGGGCAGCATGCTGGGGCCGCACTGTCCTGTCAGCTCTTGTGACCTTGAGAAGCCATGGGGATGTGGGGAGCAGGTGGCTCCCCCTTCTCAGAGTGGGCTGACCAGGGACTGGAGGACTCTCCATTGGGGAATTACCCTCTACTTCCTGTGACTGCAGTGTTTCTCGTAGTCAACAGGGAGGGATTTGGGCTCCTTATAAGGCAGATATCTTTTTTTTTTTAATCTTCACCTGAGGATATTTTTAGAGAGTGGAAGGGAGAGGGGAGAGACAGAGAGAGAAACATCGATGTGAGAGAGACACATCAATTGGCTGCCTCCCGCATGCACCCTAACCGGGTCTAGGGATCGAACCTGCAACTCAGGTACATGCCTTTGATCGGGAATCAAACCTGTGAACCAAATGCTATAACCACTTAGTAACACCAACCGGGCACACGGAAGTATTTTTGGGTGAGATTATGTGGGACTTCGGTATGATAGGGATCTGACAGTGAGTGGGCTCTCTGAGGCAGTCGTGAATTCCTTGTCACCGGACATTTCAAGGATGTGAAAGGACGCACCCCCAAGTAATGGTTCAGTTGAATGAGATACTCTTGGAAGTCAATCACTTTCCACCTGAAACTTCTGTAATTGACTGTTTGTTCTGACTCTTTGGAAATGTAGTAGTGGCTCCTGGAAACGTGCATTTGGGTGTTACCCCTGGGTCTCTGTAGGGCTCCTCAGCACCTGGATGGAGCATTCTGTCTGACCCCATCCAGTCCAGACCCTCAGGACCCGTGCTGCCGAAGCCCCCCTTGGCTATTGCATCTTCAGTTAGAGGACACTTGTAGCCCAGAAGAGAGGGACACACTTTGTGAATGAAGCCTAGGACCATGGCGGGCTGCGAGCTGGATTGCCCAGGCTGACTTCCAACCGGCGTCAGACATGGGTCTGTTCCTGGGTGACTTCTGCTGATGTCCCACGGCGCCCTCCTTCCCTGCTGACCTGCCTCTCTCTCACAGGCCATCACCACAGAAGGGAAGTACTGGAAAAGCCGCATTGAGATCGTGATCCGGGAATATCACAAGTGGAGAACCTACTTCAAGAAAAGGGTAACTGGCTTGGGCTCCAAAAAGAGCATGTTGGGGAAGTGGCCCCAGAGGAAGGAAAGGGTGAGTCCTGCGCTCAAACACTGGCCCTGAGGCTGCAGCTTCATAGCTGCCCTTGGAACGAGCATCTGGGTTTCCAAGTGATGGGCCTGCTGTGGTCGTGATCTTTGCTGTCAGCTTCTCCATCTGTGAACAGGCTTTTTGATTCACAAACACTGGTCAGGAATCTCCTCTGCCGGGCATGGCCTGGGGGTGGCAGGGAGCAGGACTCTCTCCCCACCTGCCTCCCAGAGAGAGGATCCTAGATGTTTCCGGAGTCCACGCTCTTTTAGGGAGGAGAGGCTGAGGGCCTCATCTCTTCCCGGGGCCCTGGGTGACCAGCTCGTCTCCTTTTCTCCATAGTTACAGCAGCACAAGGATGAGGACCTCTCCAGCCTGGCCCAGGTGAGGGAGCTTGGGGATGTGAGGACTCTCATAGGGAACCCCCTTTTGACAAGAACCAGAAATAACTTTGATGGCTTGACAAGTGAGCCCCACATCAGAGGAGGTTGGGGACACGGACTCTCCCTGAGGCTAAAGGAGGGGCCACTGCCTTCTCACATGAAAGATTGAAGGGCTGAGGAAAGGGATCAGTTCTCTGCTGGGTGGGCTGCAGGGGTTTCTCCCCTCAGTTCTGCACCCACTCACGTTCTGTGCAGCAGCCCCTGCCACTCTGTAGAATAGGGGGGCATATGTCCCCAGCACAGCATGGTTGGGAGCTCTGAGTCCACCACCGTCTGTTCAACTTCTCCATCCCCTCTATTGGCGGTAGGAAGATGACATGCTTTATTGGCACAAACATCGGGATGGATGGAAGACCCCAGTCCCAATGGAGGAGGACCCACTGCTGGACACAGACATGCTCATGTCAGAATTCAGCGACACACTTTTCTCCACACTCTCCTCACACCCACCGGTGGCCTGGCCCAACCCACGGGAAATAGGTAACCCACCCCCAGATCCCTGGCTTTGAGTGCCTGGCTGGTTTCCTTCTCTGTCAGGCCTCCCTGGGGCAGGCTTCACCTCAGGGCCATCTCTGAGCAACTGCAGGTCACTTGTTTGGAGCAGGCGGTAAGATGGAAGATTGACCAACCTCATTGACATCTGACGGCCACATGCATTGAGTGGGTGGGGACTGCAAGTTGAGTCTACCTGGAGCTGTCAGGCCCATGGTATCTCTGTGAGAAACAGCGGGGGTTTGATCTGAATCAGTTTCACATTTCTAATTCTGTCCCCTTAGCAAAGGATGTGTGCCTAGTCCAAGTGACAGGGCCTGTGACTCATTCTGAAGAAGATGGGAAACACTCCTGGGCATGACCTCTCATCTGGCTGCATTCAGTTGTCCAGCTCACCCGTCAGGGAAGAGCCCACAGAATGAGAATTGGAATGGGCGTGGGGGATCTCTGCAGAACTATTCACGATTTCTGGGAGTGTCTGTTCCTGATACTCAATTTACCTTTCTTGCAAAAATCTCACATTCTTTTCTGCATTCTGAGGGTAGAGAATGGCCATGAACCCACAAGAAAGTAGAAATCCCAGCCAGTTGCCTACATTTCTTCTTGGAAGAATCTAGAATTTGAGCAGGACCAGGGAGATCCATTCCAGGCCTTTCATATATTCCTACAACTTTGAGAAGGCAAAGTGATTGCTCTGTCTCCTCTCTGATCCTTTCAGCACATCTGGGAAATGCAGACATGATTCAGCCGGGGCTGATTCCTTTGCAGCCCAATCTGGACTTCATGGACACTTTTGAACCTTTCCAAGGTGAGGACATGAGCAGAGAGGGCATGGCCACCTGCATCTCCTTCGCCCAGGACAAAGCAGACTGGTGCTTCCCTTTCATAGAGGGAACTGTTAGAGTGGGAAAGGGAGCAGGGAGGATTTAGAGTTTCCCCAGCACTACAGTCTTTTTTGGTTGTAGCTGCAAAGTCTGCACGTTTCTCTGGGGCATTGCTGTCGTGGGAATGGTCATCTCATTCTCAGTCTCAAGAGCCTCTGGTTTGGCCATGACTGTGAGCAGTTTTCCCTCTAGGCAGCAGAGGGCGCCAGCGACACGGCCACCTCCCCACAGTTTCCTGCAGTTAAAGCTGGTGCTTGAGCTCCCACCATTGTAAGAGCTGGTGAAACTCCAGGCCTGGGAGTATTTCAGAGCTCACACTAGTTGCCCTCAGGTGTGGTTCCAATCAGAGGACCTGTTTTTGCAGAGTTACCTCAGGGGAAATGCCCTCTGGCCATGGCATGCCTCTGGGTAAGGTGGGGTTCAGTGCCTGATTTGTTTGCATTTTAATTCAAGGAAGTGACAGACACACGGAGCTCAAAAGCCCCGATGTTGTCTTTCAGAAATCTTCTCTTCCAGCCGCTCCATTTTTGGCTCCATGCTGTCTGCACCTGCCTCAACATCTGCACCAGATCCCAACAGCCCACCTGCTCAGGTAGAGGGAGCTGGGGGAAGGGCACAGGGCTGGTCATAAAACCTCTGCAGTCATGGCTAGGCTAATGACATGACCACATAGTCATGAGCAAAGTGCTAAGGGCTGTTAGATCACAAGAAATTATGCTATCCCCCTTTAAAAGCATCCTGGAGATTCACACGCTGGAAGACTGACTCCATAAACATATGCTCCTACCTAAGGCTCCAGGTAACCTGTGTGCAGTGAGCTCTGTTCCGACCATTTAAGACAAAGTAAGCACGAAAGCAAAAACATGGATCACTAATGAAAAGAAGTTCTGTGTATTTCTTTTAGTTTTTACTCAGCAATCAACAGAGATTGGTTATCGAGTGAGGCCGGGCCTTTTGCACTGAAGGGGCTCTCAGGCTGGTGCCTGTGTCCAGTTAGACACCAGTGACCTGGCCCATCTTCTTCCATCTGGCTCTGGGAAGAATTTCCTCTGTAGAGATTGAGATCTGAGCAGTTGATTCCTATAGCGTTTCCCTTTTAGGAAGAGGTGACCTCTCTGGAAGTTGATACACGAAACTGTCCTGAGGGAACCCCATGAGCAGCTGGGATCCAGGCTGCCTCTGCTCTGTAACAGAAGATGGCAGGGACTTTTGGGGACCCCTGCTGGACTTTAGAAACAAGATATTCCCAGGCCGAGAGCCAGCTGTGTGCAGACAGTCACTTTGTCTGAGCCCCGTGTTATCATTTCGTTTCTAATGGAAACAGGACCCCTGTCGACATCTGGGAGACACAGATCCATCCCCCAGATCAATGCTAACGGGATGGGAGAAGTGCCTTTGTCCCTCTGTCCAGGGGTTCATCTCAGGTGCCCGGCAGACATTGCTATACTTTGTGGAGTGCAGCACCAGAAAGTGATGGCGAGTTGTGTGATCCCAGTATTTTTTCCTCGCTTCTTTCTCTTCTCAGGAGAGCATCCTGCCCACCACCTCTCTCCCCACCGTGAGCCTCCCTGACAGTCTCATCGCATCTCCCGCAGCCACTGCCCTGGACTCCACAGATAGGCCGGGCTGTGAACGCACTTCCCAGCCCGAGGATCCCTTTATCCAGCCCGCAGACTTTGGTCCCTCAGCGCCCCCACTGAGTGTCCCACAGCCTTTCCTCCCCGTGTTCACCATGCCTGTGCTCTCGCCCAGCCCCACCCCAGTGCCGGCTCCCCCTGCTGTGCCACTAGTCCCTCCTGCCACCCCCCTGAACCCCCCAACCCCACCCACCTTCCTGCAGCCACAGAAGTTTTCTGGAGCCAACAAGTCCCCCGCTGTCATTACCCACACGGCTTCCACCACTCTCACACATGATGCCTCTGCCACCACCTTCAGCCAGAGCCAGGGCCTTATCATCACCACTCGCCACCCCACCCCCTCAGCATCCACCTGTGGCCTGGCACTGTCTCCAGCCACCCAGCAGCCAGCTGTTGGGCCTCTGCACCCCGTTTATCTTTTGTGCATCCCAAACCTGTACCTTGGCTGGAGGGAGGCCCAAGCAGCCCCCCAAAATAGTGCCTGCTCCAAACCAGAGCGCGTGTCCTTGGTATTGAAGAATGCTTGCATTGCTCAAGGTGAGTGGGGAGGGAAGCTGGAGTGTGACTCCCCCCACCCCCCGGGATATTCCCCCAGCCCCAAGGCTTATATTTTCATGACACACAGACACACACACACACACACACACACACACACACACACACACATTACGATGTGAAAAAACGTTATGAAATACTGCATGTGATTGCTCTAGTCTGTTTTGTGTTCTGTGTTGTTCCTTTAAAGTTAGTCTCAATCCAGTTGGAAAACACGTGGTCCTGGTCATCTCTTTCTTGGGTCTGTAATCTGTCCCCTTCAAAGGGAAATTACAAAAACATGTCAGGGGCCTTGTGGCTTTGTCTTTCTGTGCCCTGCGGTGAGGAATGCTATGTCTCAGTGGCAGCCAAAAAGTCCCATCTTTCTCCTGGGGGACCCCACTGTGGCTTGGCCAGGCCCGGGGTTAGCACCAGCGTTGAGAACAGGTCTCCATGGCTTGGGGCCTCCCCCTCACCTTCTTGTTCTGGCAGCTGCCTTCTCAGGACGGCCACAAGCAGTGATCATGACAGGCCCTCTGAAGAGAGAAGGGATGTTGGCTTCAACCGTGTCCCAGTCCAATGTGGTCATCACGCCTGCTCCCATCACCAGGGTGAGGGCCCTGGACAGACCTCAGCATCCTTAAACCCGCAGCATGGCCTGCTCTTGGGCGACCCTCACCCAACATAATGGTAGTCAGGAGTGACCCCTCTCTCGTGTGTCACCCCAGGCTCCTGGAGTCACAGAGTTCCACAGCAGCATCCTGGTGACAGACCTGGGCCATGTCACAAGCAGCCAGCCCGGCCCCATCTCCCGGCTCTTCTCTGCAAGCTCAGTGCAAGACTCCCTAGTGAAGGGCGAGCAGGCCCCACTGCACGGGGGCAGTCCCCAGGGTGCTGTCGTGGGTTCTGGTGAGTGGTCACTGTGGTTGGGACAGTTGGGACTTGTGAGTGAAATGAGCTGGCCCACTCCTGGATTGGGGAGGCCCCCATGGGTGCCCTAGGGTTGAGCCTGGGCTCACAGGCCGAGCAGCGAGGTCTCATAAGCCTGCTGATGGCCTGGCTGGGAGAGTGAGCCATGCAGGCAGGATAACGCACAGGAGCAGGAAAGCTGCAGGCATGCTGCAGCACGCTTCTTTGGTTTTTGCCTGGGGGCCACTATGGGAGGCTCAAGATGGGTTTCTGAGTCTTGGGACTTGCTGGGGTTCCCTTCCTGTGTGAGGACTGCAGCAGGCACAGCCTTGCCGAGCCCCTTCTTCGGCCCTGTCCCTAAGCAGGGTCTCTGTTCTTCTCAGGTCGGGATGGCCCAAACTCCGGGCAGGCCTCTCCGTGTGCTTCAGAACACAGCCCCAGTCCTCAGTCTCCCCAGAACAACTGCTCAGGGAAATACTCTGCAGATTCCAAAAATGTGGTTGTGTTAAAGGTACCATATATCTCTTTTGGGTCTCTGTTCCCTAGGAAGGGTGGGGAGGCAAGGGCCTTTGGGACTGCCACGCCCTTAGGAGGGCACACTGGAAAGGAGAACCATGGCTCAGCTGGTGCTCCCCAGGCTGAGGTGGCCTCGGAAGTGTGGGTGTCAGCACCTTTAATTTTGATATTCAGCCCTCTTTATCCACCCCCCACCCACTGACTGGCCTATGGGAGCAACATTGAATCCTGTAATGTGGCAGGAAGTGGCAGCTGTAGGGACAGGAGAGCTTTGCAGGTGGCTGGGAAGTGCCTGACCGGCCGTGTTTGTGCCTTGCCAGGACTTTGAGGTCCTTGCCACACACCATGCTTCAGGGGTGGTTTTCTAGAGTCCCATGCTGTCCCCTCCTGGCTCCTGCTGGAGCCTTTCAGCTTCCTGTCACCGCTCCTTCCACTTAGCTCTCTAGCCCGGCCACAGGGTCCAGTCTGCCCCCAGCAGTCAGCAACAGGTTGAGAAGGCGGGGTGGAGGGACAAGCGGCGGTGGCCTGCAGTGCACCCCATATCACAGTGATGGGTCGGTTCCCCAACAGAACCGGCAGATGAAGCACATTTCAGCCGAGCAAAAGAGGCGCTTCAACATCAAGATGGGCTTTGACACCCTGAACAGTTTGATCTCTAACAACTCCAAGCTGGTGAGCTGCCTGGGGGCGTTGGGTGGGGAGCTTGGTCCTGGGGCGTGGGCGCTGCTCTGACCCCACACCCGCCTGCAGACCAGCCATGCCATCACGCTGCAGAAGACAGTGGAGTACATCACCAAGCTGCAGCAGGAGCGCAGCCAGATGCAGGAGGAGGCGCGGCGACTGCGGGACGAGATCGAGGAGCTCAACGCCACCATCATGTGAGGGCCACCAACATGTGAGGCGGGGGCCTGGAGGCTCAGGCAGTGCCCAGTCCTCACATGTGCGCCACACAGGCAGGATCCTCCTGCCCATTCGGTGCCCCTGGGGTCCGTAATTGTCACCAGCTGCTCCAAGCTTCCTCTGACTCTTCCTGTCATTGCAGCTCCTGCCAGCAGCTGCTCCCTGCCACAGGAGTCCCCGTCACCCGGCGCCAGTTTGATCACATGACAGACATGTTTGATGAGTATGTGAAGAGCCGGACCCTGCAGAATTGGAAGTTCTGGATTGTATCCTTGGGTTTCTTTTGACCACCCCACCCCAAACCAGGGCACCAAAACCGCAGACATCCACACTCTAGTCCTTTAGAAAGGTTCTCATATAATGGCTGTCATTCAGTTTGTGAAACAACAAGTTCAGTTTTCTCCTTGGGAGAGCGGGGGCCAGGCCCAAGACATGGAGTAGGGCTATCGTTGGTCACTGTTCGGGGTCGGGGCTTCCCGGGGAGGCAGAACAGGCCAGCATTGCTCTCTGAGTTCTTGAGGAATAAAGACAAGAGCCACTTGCAGAAGGAAGTGGCCTCTAGCCTAACATATCCAGGCAGCAGCTTCTCCTGGGGGAGTCGGGAGTACGTACCAGGTGTCAGATGAGAGACCAGGCTCACAAAACCAAGCGGCAGAGCCTGGATTTGAAACCAGTTCCTTCCAGGTTGCTCCCTGAGTATGTACCCCAGGCCTTGAATGCTGTCATGAGGCACTTACACCTGTGTGCTGGGCCCTGTCTCTGTGGCCAAGGCCTCCTTTAGCTGGCCTTCCAGATGGCCCTTTCAGGGGATGGCTCCTGCCTTCTCACTGCCCACCCAGCCACTACTCTGCCTCTGGGTTGGCCACTGCCTCAACCTTGGGTGTGACAGATGGGTCTGGACTTACAATGGTTAGATGGGATTTTCAACTTTAGGATGGTGCCAAAGTGATACGAATAGTAAATTGCGTGAGATAGTCAATACTTTGTTATAAAATGGGCTTTGTGTTAGATCAGGGATTTTCAACTGGTGTGCCACAAGAATTTTTTTTTTTAATCCTCACTCGAGGATATTTTTCCACTGATTTTTAAAGAGAGTGGAAGAGAGAGGGAAAGACAGAGAGAAATATCGATGTGAGAGAAACACATCAATTGGTTGCCTCCTGCATGAGACCCCACCAGGGCCTGGGCCAGGGAGGAGTCTGCAACCGAGGTATATGCCCTTGACTGGAATCGAACCCGGGACCCTTCAGTCCATAGGCCAACACTCTATCCACTGATCCAAACCAGACTGGGCGCTGCAAGAATTTTTAAAACATGCAATACCTGACTATTTCGTCAGGGGCACTGATCTCTTTTCCCTTAGATTGTCAGATTTAAAAAATGACAACAGCCAACACAAATAACCAGAATTCTATCCCACTTTTTTGTCATATAGGCAAAAAATATATTTGCATCTAAATTTTTGGTGTGCCGCAGAATTTAATTAGTTTGTGTGTGCCATGAGAGGAAAAAAGTTGAAAATCACTGTGAGATGAGTTTGCCCAACTGTAGGCTAATGTGAGTGTTCTGAGCATGTGTAAGGTAGGTTAGGCTAAGGTATGATGTTCCGTAAGTTAGGTGTAATAAATGCATTTTTTACTTAGGGATTTATCAAGATGTAACCCTGTCATTAGGCAAGGAGCATCTGTATACGTATAATATGTTGTGTTCACGTCATTGCACCAGGATCCATTCCAGACCAAAAAAACGCTTCTGTCCCTGCCTCCAGCCTGCTCAGGGATCAGTTATAGTTACACTTGATCTTAGCCAAAAGGCCGGGAAGCGATGGGGGTCAGTTACAGTTCAATAGAAGCATCTTAGGCAAATGGAAGGGCACACTTACCTCATCCAGATCTCTGTTTGCTCAACTATCTGTACACAATTACTTGCCTGTCCCAAGGGAACAGGCCCTCCTCCTCGCTTACCTTTTCTTTAACCCACGTCCCCTGCAGTTCAGTATTATCATCAAGCCGCTGTTCGAGTCCTTCAAGGGGATGGTGTCCACCAGCAGCCTGGAAGAACTGCACCGGACGGCACTGTCCTGGCTGGACCAGCGCTGCTCCTTGCCCATCCTCAGGCCAAGTGAGTGAGGTGCTGCACAGGGGCGGTGGGGTTGGAGGCTGCTACCTCCATTAGTGCCGGCAAGACGAGGACCCTTGAGGCTGCAGAAAACCCAGGTCCCGCTGTAAGCAACCATGCAGACAGGGCCCGGGGCATGAGGATGGTGCTGTGCATAGCCCTGAGCCAGTCATGCCAATGGCAGGGCAGGAAGCAGTCCTACCCAGCGCCTTTCTGTGGCTTCAGTTGGTCAGTTCAGTCAGATCCAGCTTATGTTTATTGAGCTCTTCCTATTGGCCGGGCCCTTTCAGGTGTTTCCTTGTTTAATTCTTATAACTAACAAAGCTGTGTCTATACGTTAAGGTTATAGAGAAGTGGTAGTGACACCGGTGCACAAGCCGGAAGAGCTTAGGCCTCTCCACCTATCTGCAGGCTACGGATAGGATTCGGAGAGCTGCCTTAAAGGCAGAGGGGCTGTCCTGGTGTCCCTCTCCTGCTCTGGCAAGCATGAGAGTCACACGATGGTTGTACGCGTAAGGCCACGTGTGCTACTGTCCGTGGTGGGACTCAAAGCTGCCGCCTGCACCGTGTGTTCGGGCTAACTCCCCCTCCTGTCTTCCAGTGGTGCTGAGCACCCTCCGGCATCTGAGCACCACCACCTCCATTCTGACAGACCCGTCCCAGCTGCCAGAGCAGGCCGCGGAGGCTGTCACCAGACGTGGCAAGAGGTCGGGGGAGTCTTAGTGCTTAGCCGGCACGTGCCGCACAAGATGCCAGAAGACCCTTCCCTGCCTGTGGAGAGGAGGCTACATCCCACACCTCTCCTGACGCAGAGCCTCAGGGCCTCCCTCCAACTCTGCCAGCCCCCTGGGCCGCTCGAATGCCACGCTCAGGTCTGAAGCAGGTTCGGGTCCTGCCAACAGCAATAGTCCATCCTTGGGAGCTCCTTGCTGTCAACTCTCACTCAGCGACCTCAGTTACAACCTCCGCTGCCCTCAGGGCAGCCCAGACAGGGAAACACCAGGGTTCACTGCTGTCCTGCTGGTCTGCCAGGCCCACGGAAGTAGGTGGGCCCGAGGAGGCAGCACCTGCTCCTGGAATTAGAAAACAAACAGGTCCCTGCCCAGTCCCTGTCTGTTGCGTCCTGGCGGTCGTCTCTGGATGATTCCCTGCTGCTCGGGCCCGCCCTGGGGCAGCAGGAAGACATTTTCCTTCCTCCCCCAGACTCTGACCTGTAGACAGGCTTGGACAGCTGCTCAGGCTTTCGCATGGCCAGCTGCCTGGAAACCCCGGACTCACGTGTGCAAAAGCAGAGGGTGTGAATGCACGTGGACAAAAAGGAAAGCACAAACAATGCAAAGCTGCTGCTCCAGCTCGGAGACCCTCCTGGGTGGCCTGTGACCTGTTCCGATTTGGCTCCACTTGCCGTGGCGGGCAGCACCCCCAGCATCGCTGATGGGAATGGTGGTGTGGACTTGGTCCAAGGCTTCGCCAGGCGTCGGCTCTCAGAGTGGCCTTTCCAACCTGTCCTCCACCGGCTTCCACACTCGGCCTCGGACGCGCCAGCAGTGGCCCTTCGGGTGAAGCATTCAAAAAGCCAGGCTCCAGGGTGCTTCCACCAGCCTGGTCATCTTGTCCGCATTGTTCACCCGGGAGCCTCAAACTGGAATGGTTCTCGGACCAAAGAGGTCACCACACCCAAAGGCTGTCCTGTCTTGTTTTGAGGAAGAAATGGAATGTCAACAGGCGGAATTCCTGGCCAGCCTCAGCTGTCCAGACGTCGCCCAGATCCGATAGTAAAGAATTGCACTGAGTTGATCGGTGGGGGGTCCCTAGGGCACCGGTTGTTTCTGGGTATGTGGGATTACAGCGGAGGGTCCAGAGGAAGGCATGGCAGGAGGCTGGTCTGGGCCAGTCCTCGCTGTGTCTGCAGGAGTAGCTGTGGGTGAAGGGCGCTCTAACACCCAGGAAGCCTAGCCCGGCCAAAGACACCTTCTTGTTGAAAGAATGTGCTTTTATGGTCCAGTTGTGAAGTTCAGAGGGGTCCGCTGGCTCTCCTCCCGCCAGAGATGGAGCTGGACAGTGCTGGGCAGGCCAGGAGAGCTGGGTGGGCTTTGAGGGGGCCCAGGAGCCATGTGAGGGGGACCACGGCACCTCCTGAGGTTCTGATCCATTAGGAGGCTCCCCCTGGTTCCTGGAGGACTGAAGAAGGTGCTCAGAGGGCGGTCAGTCCTGCCTCAGCCTTGGGTGTTGAGGCTGGATGGGGGTTCTTCCCCATGTTGCCGTCCGCACCAGCACCTCTGCTGCAGGTCACTAACCTGTCACCTGCCCCCTGGTCTATGCTTCACCCCCTCGGCCTCCCCAGAACACGTGTTTACAGGCCTCTGGATCCCTCTCCTGAGAGGCAAGCACAAGATGAGGCTGGGCTGGTTCCTCATTTCCACAGGATGTGGTAAGAGAACCATCGTTACCCCCAGGTAAACATGAAGCCCCTTCAAAAGGGGAAGACCACCGTGGTAAGGGCTCCCCTAGGGCCAAAGGGGAAAAGGAAAACACGAAACGTTCGCAGCTGTTAGGGCTCATGGAGGGGCGTGAGCTCGGCCCCTCCACAGTCTGTGCCTTCATAAACCACGTGGGTGGCCGCAGTGCTTGGCCCAGCCTAGACCTCTCCTAAATCTGTAGCTTTCTCCCCACCCCTTGCTGGGAGTCCTTTTTTAAAACAAATTTAGATATAAAATGGGCCTCTTGCTTCATTGGCCTACCTCTCTCCATCTCTCCCTTTTGCTGACTTAATGATCAGATTCTGTTTTGGTAGCTGTTTAAGGCTGTTAGGTTATGTGTGACTTTGAAGGGTGTGTGTCTGTGTGGCATGTTTTTGTTTGAGGTATTTCCTTAAATCCGTTTCTCTTGGTGCTCACGATTACCGTGGCTGTAGGGCCACAAAGCTGTTTCTCTTACTGCAGACACACTGTTGCTAGTCCTCCAGGTTTTCTTGTTCTTGAATCTTGCCTGATGAATCTGGCCAGCACAAGGGCCTCTTAACCTCTATCCTTGGGTCCCGGCCAGGGCATGGGGAAACTGAGGCAGTCTGCCAACGCCTCCAGTAGACGCTGACCACGGGGCTGTGGTTTGTTTACACTTATTTCACTCCAACTCCCATAAAAGAGACTTAAAAATGCTGACACTTTGGAGAATGAGAAAATCAATCTGAAAAGGGGAAAAAAATCCTGTCTGGTACATACATTTCTGCAAGTATTTCTGTGAAATCTTTCTGTGCCATCAGCTCCTTGCGCTGCTCTTTCCTCTTTCACAATGAGTGGGGATGCAGGGACAGAGCAGAGGCCGCTGTGGGGCTTTCTGAAAGCCGAAAGGCCTGTCCCTCCTGACCCAGGCGGCTTACACACCAGCTGTCACCCCTCAGCAGGTCCCCGAGCTGTGGCAGACCCTCAGCTTTGCAGCCGTTTTCACAGCACCAGGGAAGCAGTTCCTACGTCAGAAATTAGTGCTGATGGAAGGAGGGGCCGGGGCAGGGCAGTGAAATCCCCAGCATGCTGTGGATTGAGGTCGCATATGGGTCCTTGGGCAACCACCTTTCTCCACTTCCTGTCCTTGTGACATGACCCCATTTCACCTTTCCAGAGGTCGGGCCTGAAGGTGTTTTTGCTGTGGCCAATAGAAATATAAACTTAGGTTCTTAGAAGACATGGGACTCCAGCGTGGTGCCCAGCCCCTTTGTCCTATCCAGGTGAAGGGGTGTGGTCGTGGGTGACATCATTCATTGCCTGATCCTAGCACAGCCACCTCCAAAAGGGGTCACACACCCCTGTCTCCATGTGCAGTTCTGGCTGGCTCCACCCCAGCTTCCTCTCAGGTTGGGCCTCCTTCCTTGAGAGGCCCAGCTTCCCACCAAATGAATCCAGGGGCAGCAGGATCGTTGTTTTCAAGATCACAAGTGTTTGCTTTCTGGCTGAACAAGAGCTCATCAGAGTGGAGCGGGGCTGTACTGTGGGTCTGTCCCCCCGTGGCCAGCAGACTCGCTCAGTGTGCAGGGGGTGGGTGCTGTGGGCCAGGCCCCACGCTGCCTGCCCTTGCCTCCTCAGTTCAGTTCTTTTACCTCACTGGCTCCGATGGGCAGGCTTGGAGCATGGCCTCATCACCCCCCCTACTCTCAGCAGCCCCTTCCACTCTGGTGGTCGCCTGGTCCCTCCATGGTCTTTGTCCCACTGACTGGGTGTAAGCTGGGCTGCTCTTCTGTCTGGTGGGAGAGTTGCCTTTCCCGGGAGATTCCCTGCTTCCCATTAAGCTCTTTGCAGTAGGTGAACTGCCCCCCCACCACCCCCCCGCTCCCTACACTTAGCTTTGCAAAGTGTTCCCTGTGGGACCTGGTTGGGATGGAACTGGGAGAGCCCTGATGTGGCCGCCTCGGGCTCGGTGCCTCATAGATTAAGATTTTCCCCACGTCTGAACATGGGGAAGGAGAGAGGAGGGCGAGGCTGGAGGATGGAAGAGCTTAGAAGCTCGACATGTTTGTACCATTCAGGAGCTGCCTTGGTCGTGGCCCACTCAGCAGGTCTTTGTGGTTGGAGGGGCTCCAGGAACAGGGAGAAGCGTTAGAACCGCCCCCGCCCCCACCAGTCCCTCCACAGGGGTCAGCTGCCTGATTCTCTTCTTCTGAGGACGTGGCTCTCCCGGCTCACATGTGGGGGCTGTTCCTTGTCAGGCTTGTGAAAATCAGCCTTGGAGAAAAAAGGGAACTTTTTATACTGAATGTTGGCTTTGACTCTGTGTGTGTGTGTGTGTGTGTATGAGAGTGTGTTTACTTAATGAAATTTTATTTTTGTGAAATTCCTTTCCAATTATGTAGCAAAATTCACCTTTACCTCCCAGTCAAACTTTTGGTTCCACAGTCGACCGTGGGCGTCGCTGATTCGAAGAATTCTCTTCTGCGTTTCTGAACAGAGACATGTTGCTCTCAAGAACTGAGCTTGTGCGGGGCTGGGAGAAACTCAAGTTTTATATGTTTCCATAGAGTTTCCATCCTGCAGTTAGAAGGTAGGAAGGGCCCGGCCCTGGGAGACCCGGCCCAGCTGTGTGCTCGCATGGGAGCTGAGCACAGCCTCCCCCACGCACCTGCCACTCCACACCTGAGCCCTCTCACGGCCCAGACACCACGCTCTTTAATTGTCCGGGTTCCGTTCCCTGTGCAATGGGTCGCTTTTTCCTGCTGGGAGCTTCGGTGATGGTGTCAGGGCTCCTTTAGGGGACAGTTCCCCCGTCTGGGAAAGAAACCCCCTCGGAGTCTGGGCAGCGGAGGCTCCCTCAGGCCCGTGTCACCCAGAGCACAGCCCTATCACGCGTGTCGAGAAGCATGTTTCCACCAGCTGTGTTCAACACTACAATGCAGTTTGAAAACTACATTTACATCCAGAACAATAAAAAGCCGTATTTTTTGGAAACGCTCGTGGTGTGTGGTCTTCAGTGCTGCCCTGTTGGTCTGTGGCAGTGGTTCTCAACCTTGGCTGCACATTGGAATCACCTGGGAATCTTTTTAAAATCCTGATTTCTGGGCCTCATCCTCCGGAAATTCTGTTTCTTTGTTACTAATGTTGTGTCCCCACCCCATAATAAAGAAACAATTTCCGGAGGATGAGACCCAGAAATCAGGATTTTAAAAAGATTCCCAGGTGATTCTAATGTGCAGCCAAGGTTGAGAACCACTGGTCTATGGGGAGCCGGTGAAAGGAGAGCAGGCAGAGTGCCGCCCGGCTGGCCTGGAGGTGGGGATGCCGCCTGCAGTGGAGGCATTGGGGTGAGGACAGAGGTCAAGGTGGGTGAAGTTCTGGAGGTGTCTCCAGAAAGACAGTGGTTCTACAGAGAGGCCTCCGCCAAAGGGGCCAGTTCCCCACGGCCAGTGTGACTGATTCTGCCCGTGAACTCACCAGGAGGGCAGAGTTGAGTGGCGCTTGTACCAACTGCCCAGATCTGTATCTCTTGACTAAAATGCAGTGGTTTGCTACACAGGTTCTTGTCTGATCAAACCCCAAGGCCTCCCCCAAGGGAAGAAGTTCATGACACAGAACAAGATGTGGGGCTTTGAGGGTTGGGGCCCTGGAGAGAGGTGAGTGGCATGTGGACTCCTTCCAGCCACAGGGAGCTCGACTGCCAACAAACTAAGCAGCTGGTGTCTGTTTGGTTCTTTCAAGTTTTTGAGCCCAGCTCCATGTTAAGTAAGAAAGATGTTTGGGCATAATTTGGAGAAGCAGAGTTTGGATGGGCTGGCAAGGGAGGAGCAGAGAGTGTCTAGAGCAGTGGTTCTCAACCTTCCTAATGCCGAGACCCTTTAATACAGTTCCTCATGTTGTGGTGACCCCCCAACCATAAAATTATTTTCGTTGCTACTTCATAACTGTAATTTTGCTACTGTTATGAATCGTAATGTAAATATCTGATATGCAGGATGTATTTTCATTGTTAAAAATTGAACATAATTAAAGCATAGTGATTAATCACAAAAACAATATGTAATTATATATGTGTTTTCCAATGGTCTTAGGCGACCCCTGTGAAAGGGTCGTTCGACTCCCAAAGGGGTCGTGACCCACAGGTTGAGAACCGCTGGTCTAAAGGGAGTGTGGCTGGTGCACAAGAGATTCCCATTCCTCTCTCAGGCGTGGAGTCACCGCAGGGACATCCTCACCTGTGGACGCTTCTCAAGTTGGTGGTGTGATTATTCCCATTTCATAGAGAAGCAACAGTCAAGGTGACATGGGTCAGCGTGAGAAGCTGAAGGGTCACTTTTATCTTGTCAATGGTCTCTCCATGCTCCAAATCCCAGCATTATCCTTGATGCCCCCATCTCTCCTTCCCCTCCTCCAACACCAAGCCCTATCAAGTTTGTCTTTTACGTTTCTCTCAAGGTCATTACCCACTTTTCTATCCCACTGCCCTAACCCTAATCCAAGTCTCTGGCACCATCATTTCGCAACCAGTTCACGTCTTAATGTTCACCCCATTCTGCCTTACAGTCTATCTTACAGTCAGTGTGAGCTTGGAAAAGTCCAAGACTAGTCACGTCTCCTCTGCTTCAAATGCAGGCGGTGCGGCCAGGTCAGAAGTCAGAGACAGAGGGGTGACTGGGGTGTGAGATGTCACACTGACGGGGTGTGGAACAAGGTTTAAAGATTGACTCATACAACTACATACTGAATATAAAATGTCAAGTTTCCTAATTGAGGCTGTAATTTCGTAGTTAGGTTTAGATAGGATAAGAACTCTCCTAAGTGGCATTTAAAGGCACCTCACCTCAGATGTGGACTCAATTCTACAGAACAGAACGTACCTTCTCCAGTACCTCTTTTCGGTATGTCAGCATCTAAATTGAGCCTCTGTGGGGTGGTGTGATTGCGCTTGTCCTAAATTTCAGTAAGCGTGCTTTTTTATCTTTTCATTTCAGACAATCTCCAGCATCCACAGAAGTAGAACAGTGTAATGAACTGAGGGCCCATTCATCCGTTTTCACAATGATCCACTGAGGGCCAATCCTGTCGCACATGCACCCCACCCCGCCCCCATTATTTTGAAGCAAACCCCAGAGACCGTGTGGCTTTCCCCTGTGAACAGTAAATGTGTTCTTAGTGCCATTTCCAGCGTTGCATATACGCCTGCCATGTTGGTCCTCTGAAAAGCTACGAAGTCACAGTTCATGAGAAACCTGGGGAGTGGGGCGTTCTGATTGATCAGATTTTTCTGTTTCACCGAATTATTAGCTAGAAAACCCTTATTGTTTAAAAAGGGGAAAGGCTTTCTAAGATAAGCGTCTACTTTCCTGCCTTAATAGGTATGGTACGGCAAACAATCTAATCTCTTCATCTAGTCTGACTGATTTTCGCTCCTGGGGGAAGTGACCCAACAGGGCTAGTTGTTTCCATTACAGATTTGTGGTGGCAGCGGGGCCTGGGTGACAGGGGTTACAGTCTTTCCCACCTGCCCCTCACCTGCCTCTGAAGCCCAGACTCCAACCCGTTGGGGTCTCCTGAGTCCCCAGCCCACTCATCAGTGTAACTGCACGACCCATACTGCACCTCTTCCCCCAACACCCGCCACGAGTTTACCCAATTTGTCGCTCTTTCCTCCAGTCTTTGACCAAGGAGAGTGTGAGCTGAAAGCGGAATCTGCACTCAGCTCAGGGAACCCAACAGGGACTGTATTGGAGACACAACAAAACCTGTGAGTGATGGGGTAAGCATGGGGGGCATGAGGAAGGGCAGGAACCAGGCCCTGAAGGGGATCAGGAATGTCCCCATGGTAGGTGACACCTGAGCCAGGAGGCCACAGCAGAGCACTTTCCACGGCAGAAAGGGTCACAAACCTAACCCTCCATGCACCCAGCCAGCCCCCTCTCCCCAGTGGGGCTTTTTCTTGCGTTATCACTTCTGTCCCTTGAAAAGTTATCTCTTTTCTCCTCTTCCATTTGACTCATTCCTCTCCACTCACAAGTTTCTTCCGAATCTCTCTACTTTTTTTTTAAAAATATATTTTATTGATGTTTTACAGAGAGGAAGGGAGAGAGATAGAGAGTTAGAAACATCGATGAGAGAGACACATCGATCAGCTGCCTCCTGCACACCCCCCACTGGGGATGTGCCCGCGACCCAGGTACATGCCCTTGACCGGAATCGAACCCGGGACCTTTCAGTCCGCAGGCCGATGCTCTATCCACTGAGCCAAACCTATCTCTCTACTTCTAACCAGTCTTTCTTTAACTTTCAATCTCGCCTGCCCAAACTCAGGCATCCCCACCCCTGCATCTTGATACCCCACTGCTCAAGACACACATTCAGACATCACCCTCACTTCTTCCTTTTCTTCACTTTCCGCCTTTAGTCTACCAGGACACTGGTCAGTGTTGCCTCCAAAATAATCACAGGCCCAGCGCTCCTCCCCACCCCAGTGCCATCACAGTGATCCACACACCGTGGCCTCATCGCCTGGCCCGGTGATGGCACCAACCTCTAGGTTCCACCCTTTGCTTCCGTCCATTGTCGCCACAGAGCTAGAGTTGGCTTTTTAAATCACTTAAGATGCACTGTGTTCGTCCCCTGCTTTAACTCCAGTGGCTTCCTGTTGCATTTGGACAAAAACCCAAACTCTACCATCTGGCTCCTGGCTGCTTTGGGCCAGCGACAACCTGTCTGGACCAGAAAGTCTTCACCTGTAAAACGTGGCTGACGATATACCTCCCCACTGGGTGCTGTAAGGATTCAATGGCCACAAACCTACCATGTTAGCTACTTTGCTATTTGCCATCTCTCTTCCCTGCCTTCTTCCTCATTCCCAACAAATCGTACCTTCTTCCAAATTTCTCAGATATTTTTAAAAATATGCTTTTTAAAAAAAAATATATTTTATTGATATTTTACAGAGAGGAAGGGAGAGGGATAGAGAGTTAGAAACATCGATGAGAGAGAAACATTGATCAGCTGCCTTCTGCACACCCCCAATTGGGGATATGCCCACAACCAAGGTACATGCCCTTGACCAGAATCGAACCTGGGACCTTTCAGATCACAGGCCGACACTCTATCCACTGAGCCAAACCGGTTACGGCTAAAAATATGCTTTTATTTATTTTGGAGAGGAAGGGAGAGGGAGAGAGAGAAACATCAACGATGAGAGAGAATCATTGATCACCTGCCTCTTGCATGCCCCCTACTGGGGATCGAGCCCGCAGCTCGGGCCTGTGCCCTTGACCAGAATCGAACCCAGGACCCTTCAGTCCGCAGGCCGACACTCTATCCACTGAGCCAAACCGGCTATGGCCAGATTTCTCAGATTTTATTAACACCACGGCCAAGACCATTCTCCTTTTTAATATCCTGGAGTCCTTCTGATTCTCCTTTCCTGGCAGCATCCTGCCTGCCCCCTTTTTAATTTTTATTTAAATTTATTGGGGCGACATTAGTCACCATGTAATCTCTTTTTTTTTTTTAAATATATTTTATTGATTTTTTACAGAGAGGAAGGGAGAGAGATAGAGAGTTAGAAACATCGACGAAATGTCGCTGCCTGTAGTCCCATTCCAGGCCGAGGACACAGCCGTACAGGTCAGCACTGAGTTTGTCCTAACAGAATCGAACCTGGGACCCTTCAGTCCGCAGGCTGACGCTCTATCCACTGAGCCAAACCGGTTTCGGCAATCTAATCTCTTAATCTCGTCTGCATCTCCTCCCAGCACTTCGTAACCTACTACCCTGGTAGAATGAAGCCCCAGCCTCAGTGTGGCCACCTCATCTCCCATCACTCCCCGTGGCGCGGCCCAGGTGCCAGGCAAAATGGACTCCTTGTTGTTCCGTAGCCATGCCCCACACTTCTTCCCTCTTCCTCTGCCAAGAGCCCCTCCCCCTGGAAGGCCTTGTGCTTCCTCCTCTCTGCAGCCTGCTCTGGCCCACCCCACTTT